CTTTGTGGATTATCAAGATGTTTTCGTTGGGGGCTAAGTGTGTGGGGAAGTGGAAGAGGAGGGGGAAGTAGAGTTGACCAGGAACTGACCAGTACAGACATCCTCTGGCCAGAGTAATTTCCCTTCAATTCTCCTTTGGAAACTGGGTCATGGTCATGGGACTTTGAGACCTGCTTAGCTCTTTCTAACTGAAAGAGCTTCTCTGATGTATGAACTCTCACCATCTGAAAGAGCTCTGAAAGAGCTTCTCTGATGTATGAACTCTCACCATCTGCTTTGGTTGGCAGAAAAATTATCAGAAAAACTATTATTAATGAGTGCTTAGCTTGATTTAGGTGTTGTGCTATAAATGTTATAAACATGCTTTTATTTAACCCTGAAATATTCCATGGTACGCCCTGTATTATTGATAAGAAAATGGAGATGTTAGAGAACAGTAATTCTCTGGAGCTCCAAAGATCTTCCAAACAACGTGTCATAGAGATTCTGGATAGTAGAGGTCCCAGAATTGTGCTAGTTTGGGGGAGCATGCAAAGGTCTAGGACATGATATTTAAAAAAATATATCTTGTATCATATTTTGTATATGTTCCCTTTTTTCTTTCCCTCTATATGTGTATTTAGTGTGAGTGCCCATAAAACTAAAGAAAAACCTATTGCTTGAATTTTTCTACCTAAGTTTGGGGGAGAAAAGCATTTTTGATGTGCATGACAGCTTTATTTATGAAACATTGGCATTGTGAGACACTGGAAGGACACTAGGTCAGTCACTTAAGACTTGGAATGTACATTCCTTATTAAATTTTATATAAGTAAAACAGATTAAGTTTCAATGTAGAGACATTGCCGATAATATAGCAAGAGATGCTATATATTGAATGCCTATGGTACATGCTGGGCATTTTGACTAGCTTATGTAATTCACTTTTCTCAGTAGCAGTGTGATAGGTAATTTTTCATTTTACAAATTGGTGCATTTGGAGGCTAATGGTGGTCAGAACTCAAAGTGATCACTGTTTCACCGGCATGTATTCTTGTGCTATATAGCACTATGCCATTTTAAAACAGAGCAAGTTGGTATCTTCCCTGCTTTTTTTAGTAGGAATAATTTAAATTTATTTTTCTGTTTTGTCCATTTATTATTCTATTTTGTCTTTATAATCTAATAAAAATAATACATACACATATGAAAACTTAAGGAAAAATTACTGATTTCAGTATTTTTCACCTAGTACATTCCTTCCTCTAACCTATATTTAGAGAAAAATCATTCTCACACAGGTAATAAAGGATTCATTGCATGCAGAGTAAAAGGGTAAAGTGTCCAATTTCCAGAAAAGCCACTATTAATAGTTTTGTATATGTGTGTGTATGTTATGCACAAGCATAAATATATTTTATTTTAAAAAAATATTTATTTATGCATACAGAACTGGGGTACAGGGCAGAGATATAGGGTCTCTGGATTCACCAGAGACAGAGTGGGAAGCAGAACAGGCAGGTGGATGAAGTACACTGCTGAGGGGAGCAGCGGGTGGGTCAGGAGAGGTCTGCTGTGCCATGTGGGTCACCTCCTGGGCAGCGGATGGAACTCACACTTAAGCTGCTGTGGCCAGCTCGCAGTGCTGCGCCCTGACCTCTTACACTACCAGGGAAGACCCAATATATTTTCTTTTTAAAGAAACTCACTTTATATTTTGTTCTCTTCTTGTTTGAATAGACTATCCTTTTTGGATGTTCTATCCAATCTCATTGTGACATACCATTATTTATTTAGGTTTCTATGTGGGTTTCTATGTTAGATTATTGCCAGTCTTCTTACTGTTATAAAGAATATTCTATTGCATGTACACATCTAAAAAAATTCTTTGAAGGAGAAATTAATTTAAGTGTATTTTCTTTAGCAGTGACTTAGTATAATTTCCTGACTGCAGCACCATCTAACCTAACATCTAGGCTGGGTAGTTACTCCATTCAACTGTTACTCATATACCCATCAGCACCTAAATAGCCTTTCAGAGGGTGAATTTGGTCATTCCTGTGAGATATCACTGAGATAGCAGTAATCAAGTGATGCAGTTCCCAAGTCCCTGCCTCAGTGGAGCAAAAAAATCATACCTCCAGGCAAAGCTAACTGTTGGAGTTGCTTAGACTAGTCTCTGACTGCCTGCAGGCCAGGTCCCTCTAGAATATAGTACTCGCCCACCACCCAAGAAGCAGGCACTAGACATGGGGCTCCATTGATTACAGTCTTGAACTTGTCTGACTCTTGGACCGCTTAAAAAAAACAAAACAAACACCTAGGGGTCTCCATGGTGCCACAGGAGTTAAAATCTCAGCACTATCAAGCTATTGCCAGTCACTGGTCAGCAACTGCGGCATGAAAATCTAGTCCCTGGTCAGGGAGGCGACTCACATGGTGTAGCATATCTCCACGGCCCCCCTCAGCAGTGTATCTCAGTATTCTGATTCTCACACTGTCCCTGGTGAATCCTCTCACAACCCCCTCCACCCTATCCTCTGGCCTATACTCCAATTCATGTATGCATCAATAAATAAATCTTTTAAAAAACAGACTTTTTTTCCTAAGAGTAGTTTTAGGTTCACAGGAAAATCAAGCCAAATGTAAGGAGTAGCTTTAAACTCCCCTGTCCTGACACACAGAAGATGCACCGTAATCAAAGTCTGCCACAAGATTGTTATATACTTGCAGTAGTTGATGAACCCACGTGGACACAGCATTATCCCCCAGAGTTCTACACCCCTTTTCCACTATAGATCCCATGACTTTGCCCAAATAGTACAATTTTCTGACTACCTCCCAAAATCATAGCACCTCATCCCTTTCCTCTAGGACATCTGTACTTTTTTTTTTCTCTCTTAGTTCCTTTTAACTTGTAACATTTATAAATTATGTTCTTTGTTTACTGCCCGTAGTTTGTAGAGATGATGAGAGTCTGTTTTCTTCTATCTTAATCATAGAACCTGGCTGATAGTAGGTGCTCAGGAAATGTTTGACTCAGTGAGTAAATAAATGATCAGACAAAGGAGCTCAGGACATTCTCAGTTTGGTATCTCTCAGAAAACCCAACCTACCCCCTTCCTCCCTATACTTGCCACCAAGGGACCCTGGGAGAAGGAGATGCCGGTGAGTTGCAAACAATTGGAGCATTTTCATTGGGGGTCATTTGGAGAACTTCCATGACCTGCTCCTCAGACACCTTTCCAGTATTAGGAAGATAAGTGCCAAAATGAATACATACTGTTCTATTATGGTTTAATGTGTGTGCCAGACCTGAGCACCTGGAGAGAGGAAATGTGAGAGCAGCAGGAGGTTGGGGGGAGGGTAGGAAGAATGGGGGACATGAAAGAGAAAAGGTGGGAGGAGAAAGGGAGGGGAAGAAAAAACAAAAATGTGAGAGTGGGGAAACTGAGAAAGAAAGTGGTGGTGGAGGGAAGGGGAATTCTGAGAGAGGTTTGGGATTTTGAGTAGGAGAATTCAGGAACCTAGCCTGTGGCCCTGTCGCTGCCTGGAGGAGGGTTCCCACTCCAAAGCATGTTTTGCCTTGAAAATTTTAAGAGTCTGACTGCTGTGAGATTAACAGGAGTATTTGCAGCATCTATGTTGCATTCTTTTGGGGGAGAAGATAGTGACAAATGTTATCTACTAGGTGGAAACATTATAGTCAGCGAGTTCACAATTTTGATGTCAGAGAGGGGAAGATAAAAGACCTTATCTGGAGTTGAGTAGAGCTGACTATATTCAGTGTTTCAGCCTAAGCCCAAAGTGTGACATTTAACCTCTTAAACTAAGCAGATAAACTAAAATTGTTGCATATTTAATGCAGTGTTTCTTTCCATTTGTATAAGAAAATTTGTTAAATCTGCACTAAGATAATTTAGCAACACATCCTTTGTCTTAAGGATGTTTGACAAAATAGAAACTATTTAAAGCAAGTTAAGTGCAGTAAATTTACAAATACATGAGAAAGGGAAGAGGAAACAGCTGTTGAGCGTGTTAACCATAGAGAGAGTCTGTCTCTAGAGATGCGGGAGATAGTAACAGCCATCTGCCCAGGTTGGATAACATTTTTTTTTTTCAAAAGATTTATTTTATTTATTTATGCACACAAGAACTGGGGTGTAGGCCAGAGGTGTGGGGGACAAGAGGATTCACCAGAGACAAGTGGGGAGCAGAAGAGGCAGATCTACTGAAATACACTGCTGAGGAGAGCAGGGGTGAGACAGGAGAAGTCTGCTGCACCATGTGGGTCAGCCCCCTGGCTGGGGATAGAACTGGTGCTGCAGTGCACTGTGCTTAACACCTTCCACCACCAGGGAGGCCCCTGGATAACATTTTCTTCTTTTTTTTAATCCAAAACTGTTTTTAAGAGGATGCTCAAGAATTGCTTTGTCCATTGAAGTACCTTTCATGGGCTGAAATAAAATCTTAACGTCTGACACTTACTGGGGCCTACTTTATTTAGTGATAATTTCTGTGTGAAGATCAAATGTTGATTTCCTTCCTTCGGCATATGCTAGCTTTTTCATTCAAGTAAGGATGCTGACACAGCCTGTTAATTCAGGCAAATTATCTAAAACTGGGTTTCAGTTTTCTTACTTATAAAGGTGAATATTAGTGTATTGGTTATTAGCATCTACTTTGTAAGTTCACATTTTCAATGAAATGTTTTGAAAAGGCTTAACACAATACTTGGAGCAAGCACTAGGGAATTGTTACTTCCTTTCTTCCTCATGATCAAATTCTGCCCAATTCTGCCCACTTTTCCCTCGCTTAAATGATTTTGAGTAGCATTCTCAAAATTAAAAATGATAACTGCTAGCTAGTTTGCCCACGCAACTTGGGAGTTGGCAAAGAACCATTCTATAATTCAAATGAACTTTGAATTCTGGCTCGATAAGATATCTTATAGGTTAGGTCTACCTACAGTCTGCGTTTACTTATGAGCTAATGTTTACTGTCTGCTGTTTTTCTTTCAGATGAATAGACTCACCACTTTCCACTGACTGGCAGCAATGGCATTTACTGAAAGAGTTAACAACAGTAGCAACAGGTAAACATGAAATCCTGATTTCAAGATAAGAAAATAAGTAATTTTATAATCAGTTTTTCAAAGAACAAGTTTGTTACTCTTTATTTTGTCAACTTAGTGACCTCTCTGGCACAGGAAAATGTTTGGAATTTTTATATTTTTTCCCATGAACTCAAATCTGTTATCCTATTTACATTTCAAAAAAATGATTCTTTTCTGGGGCCCCCTGATGCACAGGGGTGAAATTTCAGCACTATCTGCCACTGCTGCATGAGTTCATCCAGGGAGCTGACCTACATGGCACAGCAGACTTTTCCTGTCTCTCCCTCTGCTCCACTCAGCTGTGTATTTCAGTACATCTGCCTGGTCTGCTCCCCACTGATCACCAGTGAACCCTCTTACCCCCGCCTCTGCATCTCTGCCCACACCCCAGCTCTTGTATGCATAAATAAATAAAAATAAATCTTTTTTTGAAAAAGATTACTTTATATTTGCTTAATTCATTTATTTAATACATAGATGTTGTATCAGTTTCCTGATTCTGTGTTCAAGATAATGGTCCAGGGTCCTCTCTAGTGGCACAGAGTTAAAGTGCAGCACTGTGGCAGCCACTGCAGCAGGAGTTTGATCCCCAGCCAGGGAGCTGACCCACATGGCACAGCAGACCTCTCCTGCCTTGCCTGCTGCTCCCCTCAGCTTGTGCTTTGTCAGTCTGCCTGTTTTGCTCCCCATTCTGTCTCTGGTGAATCCTCTCACCCCCCCCCCACCTCTGGCCTGTACCCCCATTCTTGTATGCATAAATAAATAAATACATCTTTTTTAAGAGTTAGAAAAAAAGATACTGGTCCATATTGTACTGATTTGGGAAAATATGTCCATTTCATCTTGTGCAGAAACAAATATCATGGTGAAACCCATATTATGAGGTCCTTGAAGGAGGAATTTCTGTCATAGTTATATTGTATGGTTCTCACATCTCACCCTCTAATTCTGTACTTAAGAGTTAATTTAGCTCCTTGCACATATGGACATTATATGAATACTGCTGGCTGAGTTGAGAGTATATTAAATTCTGAAGCAGTTATGAATACTCAGTGGATATCCAAAAGAAATTCTTAATATCATGATCAGTTTTTACTTATAGTCTTAGATATTAAAAAACATACTGAAGTATAAGACATGTAGACGTAAACGCAACTAAATTTATAATGGAATAGATGGTGCCTACAGTGCTAGACCGTTTTGGATGTTTTCCTTCTTCCTCTTTTCTGCTTCATTTAGGAAGTTTTTCTTTTATTTCAGGTGGTCCTGTTGTTAAAATTGGTACCCCCTCCCCCACAGCTACCCAGGCTGCAACAAACCACATTCTGTTAAAGCCTGGGTGGGAAGCTGTTGTCATCTGTCTTTAGGCTTGTTCATAATGTTCAGTTCCACATAAGTTTTGAATTTCTATGTAGCTAAATGTCTTGTCTTTTATGGAGTCTGGTTTTGAAAGTGCTTAGAAAGGTCTTTTCTACTCCAAGATTGTGAAAATAATGTCATGTGTTCTTTGCTGGCACTTCCATGCTTTCATTTTTTTGCATTTAAATCCAAACTTGTAAGCTGGTGGCCTGTGGGAGAGATCTGGTGAACAGATGGGTTTTGCTTGGCCCCTTGTGGGGTTCTTAACATGTATGTGTGTGTGTGTGTGTATATATATATACATATATATATACATATATATGTGTGTATATATATACACACATATATATGTATATGTATTTGCCAGTGTTTTTTTACGTGACAATCTAGACTCCTACCTCCTCTTGAAAAATTTAAGATTTAACACCACTGAATTTGCATTGCCATATAGGACTACTCAAATTGAATTGAATTGTCATCACTCTTTTAGAAAAGGTTGAATTTTCTAATTCAAAGTGCCTCAAGTGAGTGGTATGCCATCAATCCTTTTCAGGTGTGCCAAGAAGTTGAGTCTCCTCAGCTTACAGGCAGCCAGAACTCCTGGTTTTCTCCTTTGGACACATCTGTTTGGTCAGCTTGTCCCAGAGAAACTTGATGCTTAAAGAAAGTGGGGAAAGCTCTGATGTTTGCTAGCTTACTATATTCCTACACAGCCGGATTCACCCATTCAGTTAGCTGCTTATAGCCCATTTTAGATTTTTGACTTTTTGATCATTCATAATTTTCTTCTTTAATTTTTATTTTATTTCAGTGTAGCAGAACTGGGGTACAGGACAAAAATGCAGAGGGGGAGAGGATTCACCAAAGACAGAGTGGGGAGCAGAACAGGCAGATCTACTGAAGTTCACTGCTGAGGGGAGCAGCACACAAGACAGGCAAGATCTGCTATGCCATGTGGGTTAAATCCCTGCCAGGGAGCCAGCTCAGGCGATAACAATGATAGTGCTGAAATTTAACACCTAAGCCACCCACGAGGCACCTTAACCCATCTTAAATTCAGTGTAAATTTTATGTTGTAAAATTCTACATGAATAAGAAAATGAAAAGGTAGGAGATATTAGCTAGTGGTTTTTAAAACAAAAGAGGAGTCATCGTAATATATTTTAAGTCATCCTTTTTTTCATGGTATGCAATGTCTAAGTTCCATCACATCTTTGAGTTTATTGTTAGGTCCTCTTTTACTTATTGGATTGTCTCTTCTGACAGTGGTGCTAGACTGTTTCATTATGTCATTACAGATCTTCATATTCAGGCACATTCTGCAACTTTACTTTTCATTTTTGGAATTTTCATAGCTATTCACATCTGATTGTGATTGTATTTCCAGGTGTACTCTGAAAGCATTAGTCTTTTTCTAGACAAGTGTTTGGCATTTGGTTAGGGTTCCTTTGAATTTATTAATTAAGGAGATTGTCTATAGAATATGAAAACTAGATTTCCTCATAAAGGGAACCTACATATCAGGTTGGTAAAAATTTAAGGAAATAATAAAATTTAAATTTGAATTGCAAGATTTTGGTAGAAGTATGATTTTTCATATTCTAGTTATTGACATGGCACTCAGTACAGTTTTTGGTAGAAGAATCAATTTTAACAATTAACCATAGTATCACTGGTAAGATTAGGAAACTATTTTGTGTTCTGTTACTTAATATGCCTTTTATTGTTGCAAATTATTACATTAGGATGGGTAACTGCCCTTTGTAGTAACATTCTAGCAATTACACAGCACTGTTGCTGTTTTGTCTTCCCAGCTCCTCCCTCCCTGAGGTGTTCTTAATTTAAATACACACTGCAAGCAGTAATAAGCTCGGGGGAATGCTAAATGGAGCTCCACTTTTAATATAATCAAAATTCACTTGTTTACCAATGATAGGTATTTAGCCTTTTCATAGTCTAGAAAAAAATACATCAATTCATGTGGAACTGTCCCAGACTAGCATGTATTTTAAAAGAAACATGGAGTGAGTACACAGATCTAATTTACTCCAACTACAAAGAAGTCTGAGTATGAACCTTTACTTTGTGCAGGGTTATCAAAAGTCATAATCATGGGCAGAATATTCATGTAATGTGTAAAACACAATATTTGTTTTAGTTTCTGTAAATAATAGATTTACTTGGTGCTTTCCCGATTTATTAGCTTTGGACAGTATTGAATCTAAGCTCACTCATACTTCCCCCTATTTTCCCTCTCCTTCCTTTTCTTGTTTATTCATTCTGAAAATTGTTTTTGAAAACAGACATTACTGATATAGTTCAGTGCATTTTCACAAAGTTAACACACTTATATATCAGATCAAGAGAAAATAACACCAGTTCTCTAAAACATCTTCCTCCTTCTAACTATTTCTTCCCTTAGAAGCTGGCACTAGTTTGATTTCTAAGAGCTTGGATTGGTTTATCCTATTTTTGAATTTTATTTAAGTATAACCATAGATGCCTTCAATGTTATCTGTTATGTTTATTTTTCTCTTTCATAGATTTAAATCATGTAATATAATATTACAGTCTTTCATAGATATAATATTACAGTGTTACATGTAATAGTTTATTGTCTATTATATTACCAATATTAAATATATAAAACCTTCTTTTTCTATCAGCTTTACACATTCAAATATAAAATACTCTTACTTTTTCTTCCATCTCTTGTCTCTCTGCTACCCTTTAGACATTAGCTCTCCTTTTAGTTTTAAATTTTCCAGTACAGTTAATAAATAGTACATTAAAATAGGGGCATCCTTGGTGGTGCAAGGGGTTAAGGTGTAGCACTATGAAGCTATCCACAGCCACTGCAGCACAAGTTCAATCCCTGGCCAGGGAGCCGACCCACATGGCACAGCAGACCTCTCCTGTCTTCCCTGCTGTACCCCTCAGCAGTGTATTTCAGTAGACCCAACTGTTCTGCGCCCCCATCTCTGTCATATGCCGCAGCTCTTGTATGCATAAATAAATAAACCTTTTTTTAAAAAAAATACATTGAAATAAAACACTGTACAATGTACATTGTACATTGATAGTAATCAATGGTACATTTTACTTTTCAATTATCTGTGCCCTCATAAGACTTGCCTTTAAATTGATAATGAATTTGCCCAGGAAACAAAACAGTATTATTTCACGTGTTCAAAGTCAACTCAAGTAGTATTTGAAAGAGAAGATTCATATTTAACAGGCTAAGTGAACTCTGTAGCTGAATAGTGTTTCAGGTTCATGCCATGTTTTCACTTGCCTCATCTTTGTGTTTTTATTTTGTAAATATAAAACTGTAAGAATGAA